TGTCCTATAATTAGGGCAGCTGTAAGAGTCAAGGTTGAAGATTCTTCACCATGACACGTCTGATATAGAAAAAGTGATAGCCAAGAGTAATCACTTACAGGCAGCGAGCCTTAAAGGAGCAGCGCTGCTCTTCCCCTGGCAGGGCAGGGGAGCTGGGAGACAAAGGGCAGAGGGGCACAGCGTGGCTCCGGAGCTGTGTGTGCGGGGAAGGAGGAGGGAGGAGCTGGAGATTTCAAGGGTCAACACTCAAAGGGACGGAGAGCCAGGAACGGTGATTGCCTCGCAGGGAGGTTTTCTGATCGTGGTGTGGAACTGAGCGGTGTCTCGGAACACCGTGGGTTACGCCGGGTGCTGCGGGGGTCTCCTGGGTTTGGAGAGGTTGAATGGGAAGGGTGAACTCCTCTGGGAGGGGGGTGGAAGGAGGAAAATGAAACTGTGTACGTAAATGGATAAACACAGACGTTTGTGGGTATGCCGGGCAGCAGGAGATGCTGAGGAAGGGAAGAGTGGGACAGAACTGCACAGACGTTTGGAGCGCACAGGAAGAAGCCTTAGAGCAGTGAGCGAGCAGTGGGCACGCGTCCACGTAGATGAGCGTGGGATGCACAGTTGCTTCCTCCAGCTTGGCCTTCCACAGGGCCAGGTGTCCCTGGGGGTGGGGGGACAGAAAACACCCAGGCCTGCCTCGGACTCGGGAGCTCAGCCTGCCCCTCTGCTCGGTGGGGTAGGTAGGAAATCAGGCTGTAGCACACCCCGTGCTTCCTGTGGGAGCCTTCGTGCCCTAGGGTGCACAAGAAGGAAAGCAATGGGGAGCCATCCTTGGCATGCTGGCAGGGCTGAGCTGGCTGAGCTGCTGAGACCTGGCCTGTGCTGCTTGCTTGGCAAAGGCTCTGTTCTCCTGTCTGCAGTGCTCAGAGGTAGATCCCTTGCCAGCTAGGTCAGAGTGGAGGAGCAGGCAAGGAGACATTTCTATTAGTGGAAAATGCCTCCTTGGGTGATTCTGGCTTTCTGAGAGTCCTTTGGGATCTGTGTAAACCCGGTCTCTGCCACCCCCAGCACCCTGTTGTGCAGTGGGTGCCCGGGAGCCCGGGGAGCTGTCACAGGAGAAGCCTTCTCTTCTGCTGCCCTTCCTCGGGGAGCAATTCAGTCCAACCAGCTAATGCAGAGTGACACGGGCACATGCTTTCCTCCTTACTCCCCGCCTCCTCCATGGGATCCACTTGAAAGGATAAAAGAAACAAGAGCTTACTCCCCAAACACTCTTCTTTCTCCCCATTAGAGTGTATTACACAAGAGCTGATGTAGATTCACATCGCCCATCTCCAACTGAGCTTCCCTGCCGTGCGTCTGAGAACTCTTGTGCTTTACCGGGCACCTGTGGTCTGTGGGAGCTGCAGTGCTCCCCCTCTGCATTTCTGAATAATCCACAGCATCTCTCTGGACAAGCCTGCTCCCCGCTTAGGCTGAATGATTTCCTACGGTATTTAAAGGTTTATCAGTAATAACCACAAGCCCTTGAGAAAGGGACCGCTTGACTTTGCTTTGGGCTACCGCCTCCCCTCCCATTGCTATCACAACAGATTGAGTTACCTTACATCAATTTCTACCTACCTGCTCGTGGAGCCAAACCTGTCTTCAAGGGCAGGGGAGTCAACCTGCCTCTTTGGACATCTCCTGCACCCATGGTTTGGTTTGCAGCATGCTTGCTGTGGTTTCAAAGGCAGAAGTGAGCCAGCTCTGCTCCTTTGCACGGCTGTGCAGTGGGCACGGAGCTGCGTGGCAGAGCAGAGCTGGGCGGCTCGGTTCCCACGCAGCCCCTTTGTCTGCCAGTTTATTTTGCCTTTGTCTTGGTCGACCTGTACTTGGGGACGCTAATTCGATTTTCCATTGAGAGGTGCGGATATCTATATTATTTTCCTAAAACTCCAGAGAATATTATAAATTTCTTTTTATTGCTTCCAGCCATGTTATTTAAAGTAATTAACCTTAATTTATAAATTTTTATATCAAACTGCCTTTTAACTTTTAGAACTGGCAGGAGAAGTCCATTTCCCAGGGCTCCTAATAGTTCTCCATTTAATCAAAATTCATCCATCAGATTCCAGTGTTAAATCATCTTTTAATTGGGAGTTACATTCTGGTTAATAGTTTTATAATTCGCCGCCTCTAATAGTTTTTACCACAGGGATCTACTCCATTTTTTCTCACTCTATTATTCCTGGTGTTCAGCAGGGACATTTTAAAAACGTTCACTTCCCCTGCCTGTTCTTTGTGATCTCATTAATTCTTGATAGCAAGTTCCCTTTCTCCTCATTACTGGAGCACAGCTACCTTTATCACGAGGTGAAATCTTACTCATTTCTACAAGTGCTCTTCGTTTTTTTTTTTATTTATTTATTTTGCCTCTTGAAAAAAAAAAAAGAAATCTACAATTTATTTTGGCAGCTAAGAGTCTGTGCACTGTGTAAGGTGTTGGCACCTGACATGACGGAGCTTTCATGCTGTTTGGATTTGGGGACAGGGACTCACTCTGACTTTGCACAGCTTTTCTCGCAGTAGCACCCTGACATTGGTGGGGTTTTCTGGGAGATCCCACCAAGCAAAGGTAGGAGCTATTAGTAACAGTGACATAGGAGAACAATCCAAGAGCCATAAAAAGGAACCAGCAGGAATGGTGGATCTGTTTGGAAATCCATGCAATGTGTGCTGGAATGCCTTTTGTGTTCTGTTCTGTTCTGCCACTAACGTTCACCAGCCCAGGGGAACAGAGCCAGGCAAACCCAAACACTGGTTTACTCACACGTGACACTCAGTTGTCAGACACACTGCATGCAGACAGCCTTCACTGCAGCCAAGCAGCCAGAGCAGTGCTACATTAGCTCCAGATCCTTGCAAGACAATGAAAAGAGTCCAAGGAGAAGTAAATAATGTTGTATGTGAGGCAGTAAAACCAAGCTTGTTGTTTTTCAAAAACAAAAACAAAAAAACGCCTGGAATTAGCGTAAAATTATATCAGAAACCTTAATTCTCCAAGGGCTGATTCTCAATGTACAGATCCACCAAAGCTCTGCAAATTACCCTACCAATCCTACTGACAGTCTGATAGGAATTGTTATATTGCCTGCCCCAAGTCAGCCTCTGTAGGAAAGAGTGCGTTGTGAAGTGCTGTGGGGAAGAGCAAGGGAAAGCCATCCCCAGGGTTTGTATTGGGAGTCCCTTGAACAATCCTGTAGAATCGTTCCCTATATAACTTTGCATAGGAAAAACAGGATGGAGAAGTGTAAACAGAGTTATTAGACAGTTACACGGGTCCTCAAAATCACTATCACACTGGCCATGGTAATCCTTATGCCTCCATCAAGTACCACTGCACAGTATTCCTGCGGCCCTTCGTTACCCTGCGCAGCAGTGCAATAACTTTTCCTGCTTAAAGCCTGCACCAGTGTGGTAATTTGATATGACAATGATTGCGAAATACTCCAGCAGTTTTAATTGACTGGTGTTGAGATCATATCAGCAGAAACAGACAAGATCTTATCTCGTGTATGCCTTCCATCCCGCCTGGCTGCTACAATATTTATGTTAATAAGGACCTCAGACATTAGCCAAGTATTAAGTCCTCAGCCCTGCTAGCTGCATTTAGAAGCAAACCGTAATGTCACAGACTGCTGGCTGCCTTTTCCTTCCAGTTCAGCAGTGACCAATAAATAAATAAAGGTTCAGCTTTTTGCTGGGTACAAAATAAGGAGTTTTTAGCATTTTAGGATTTCTTATGGGAAATAGTACAGTAATTCAGCAGTTAAAAACCTCCAGAGCTCCATGCTGTATCTGAAGAAATTACCATAGAAATCCAAAGCAGCACTGCACCTCCTGTATGCATAGCAGGCACACTATTACCTCCTCCTTTGTTGTTGCTGCAAACATTTACTTGAAGAGACCTTATTGTCAATGAGTTTTTGACAGAGGTCGAAGTATTTCTGAGTGAAACTGAAAGAGGTCTGGGCCTTGTATCAAACAGCTGACAGCATCAACAATGGTGTGTTTACTCATCCTGCATGCTGGAAAAATTAATTAGAAGTGTTTGTGAGATGTTTTGAGCCTGCAAAAGCCTTCTGTGCTGTTGGTAATGAGCGTGCAGTGCTGCTCCTGCCTCTGGGTGGAGGAGGACTGCAGCTGGCAGTGGATGGCTGGGGTTTCCTTGGTAGGGATGGGACTGAGTGATGCACAGCCTTTGGGAATGGCAGCAGTTGGAATAGAGAAGATGCACAACATCTTCTATAACACCTACAGCAACATCTGTGCATCTGTATTTTATTTACATCTAAGATTTCTTAAAAGGTGCAGGGCTGCAAGGTCCCTGCCAAATCTGTTCATCTGATCGCGTTATAAATTCTTCCCAGCTTTAAAATACTCCTCCTCACAGAGGTTAACTGTTGAAAGAAAACATGCAGAAATGTGATTGATCCATTGCATCCATCGGGCCCATTCTGTTTGGACTGCAGAGGTTTTAGCATGCACTCAGATGCTGTCCTGCAAAGAAAGGAAGACCCTGGGACAGGAATCAAAGCCAGTGTTGGTTGTTCTTTATTTCAAACAGGCATACACTGAGGTCTGGATTCTGGCAGAACCTTCCTCCTTTTGGGTCATGTTAATAACTGGACAGAGTGCTTTGTCCTTTTAGGTCATAATGCTGAAACCTCTGAAAGGCTTTACAAACTCTTTTGAAAAAATGCTGCAGGATTTAATGAGGTGTAATATTACAGACTTCTGGAACTTTCCTGTAAAATTGTTGTCATCTTAGGGAAAGCTTTATCTACCCATGTGTATGTACGTGTATGTGTATAAAAAAGCCTTGTTTTTCCTTTGATTGATTCAGGATTATTGCAGTAGGAGGTGATTTATTTTTTAAGGAGTCTGGTTGGTTTCTGGCTTTTCTATGCAGCTTTTCTATATTATATATATTTATTTTTTTTGTAAGAAATACTGTATGTGTCTTACAGGGCTGAGGACTTCGGAGGCTTTGTCTAAGCCTGAGTCACTGAAGACCTTGGGTTCATGCTGCCAGGCCCTGGCTGCTGGGACTGACAACGGTAAGCCTCCCCTGAGCCTCCCCTGGTGTCACTTTCTCTTTTACATCTACAAAGATGCAAACTGAAGACTGATTGGACATTAAGACCAGCACTGTTCATTTCATGAATGTATATACATATACACACATACACATATATATATATATATAATATTTAATATTTGGGCACTTAAAATATTCATCTGGTATTTTCATTCTGTTACTCTTTACTAATGCATTTTTGAACGCTTTCTCTGGAATCAGCTCAGTCTCCTCTTTCATGAATCCTTATCTCTGTCCTATGGGCATCTATATCCCTGCCCTAATGTTCCACTGTACAAGTACTGAGCTGTTCATAGCCCTAATCATATAAAAACAGATGATTCATTACTGAAGTGGATGAAATAAGGCATTAAATATTGGCATAAAGAGAAAAGATAAACTGGTACTAGATGGTTCATCTCTATTAGCTAGAGTGTCTGGGGAGACCACAGAAATAAACCTAGGGTTATAAATATTGCCCTTGATTAGGGACCTGCAATGAGATCCAGGAGAATGAACTTGTGTGCCCTATTTAAGCCCGCAGTCTGTCTGCAGGGCTCTCGCAGTGGGATCAGGGCTGATCAGAGCTGGAACATGTGGCAGCTGCTCTGGGTACAACAGCCAGGCATTTGGGGCGGTGTTACGCTGCGGTTAACTGTGAGCATTCACTGTAAGGAAATAACTCAGGAAATAATGAGAGCCAAAAAAATCTTGCAAGCTCTTAAGAACTGCAGTTTGGACATCATCTGTCAGCTTCTCCTGTCAGGTAGGAGCTTTAAGGATTTTATTTTAAGGAAAAAAAGTCAGCTGAATTCACTGGATTGCAGGAGTTGAAGGCATAAGCAGAGGATGAGATCTTGTAAAACTTCTGATCAATCAAACAAAAAAAACCAGCAGCAGAAAGGAGGTAAACCTGCACTGAGAAGCTGCACACCCGCACACGGGGCATCGGTGCCTTAGGAGGCAGTGGGTAAAGGCAGGACTCCAGCACTGCTGACCACGCTGCTCTCAGATTAAAGCTAGGAGATGAAGTCCGAGTGACCAGCCCCAAATTTTCCTTTAATGTCATCAGCCCAGAAGCTGAACCTCAGAGGGAGGCGCTGCGCAGCGTGTCGTCCCATGGCTGCGTCTGGCTTCTGGCACTCCTGCCTGGTGGAAAGCAGCTATGAGGGGTTCGTAGGGTTGTGCTGTCTTCTGTGCCTCCTTTGGCCCCCGGGTTGCCTGCAGGACAGGGGCAGGGTCATCTTTGGAGAAGAGCAACAGCGTCAGCTGAGTGGAGAGGCCTTGGGAGCTTAGAGCAAATATGTGGGACACAGCTGTATTCCTGCTTGTTACTGAGTGAGCAGGGATCCTCTGCAACCTGTGCACTGCTGTCCCTGAAATAACTGTACTCAGGCACAAATGAGACCTCCCTGGAGAACCGGGGAATCAGGTGGTTGGGGAAACAGCCCTGAGCACCACAGCTCTGCCTGCCGAGGTCATGTTCAGCTGCATGCTGCGATGTAAGGCAGCCCTAAATTACCAGCAAACAAACACAGAATCCAGCCGCTCTTCATTTCTCTGCTGTGTGGGCAGAAACTCATCTGGTAGCCTGTAACAAAGTGCCCAGGTGGGTAGCAAACGGGGAGGCTGTTCAAACAGCTCCTCCTGTGGAGATGCTGCGATTTACTGAATCGTTAAGAAATAATGCAGGGTGCAGCACTCTCTCTTGTTCCCTCCGCTCATAATCAAACAGAAATCATGCAGCATAATCCTGTGCATTTGGGGAGAGGCGTAATGAAAACCAGAATAAACACAGGCTGTTTTTAAGGGAAGTGAAAGGCTGTTGGCTGCCCTCCTTTATGCCCCAGCTGACTGCTTTCCCAAAAAGTGGCAGTGAAGGGGGGGACCTTACAGAACTAATTTCGTTAAAATTTACACTCCTTGATTTTTGTGCCTCGTCTTTTTCCCTTTTCTAGTTTTGTAGCTATGATGCAGTATTGATCCAAAGATCTATAGGATCATACCATGGCTCCAGGTGGGTGACAGAATTGAGGCTAGGCTTCATTTCCATTTGAATGGTGCAGAAAATAATTCCACTTTCCAGCTTTTATTGCTCAGAACATTGCATTTCTCTCATTGCAGTGTATAGGAATTAGCTCTGGAGGAAAGAAATGATTTTTTTTTTTTTTCTTCCCTTGATGTAGAGTGGAGCAGAAAGATTCAGGAAGAAGTAATGTAGGAAAACAGGCAGCAAGCTCATTGCTGTCTGAATTAGGTGAGCCTCAATTGCTCTAATGAAATGGAACTCCTCATCTCGGGCTCAGGCAGTGCTTCTGTGAGCTGGTGGATTCCCTACCTAGCTGGCACCGTTTTCTGAAGCAGCACAGTGCGTTAAATGCAGTGATAGTGGAGGAGCATACAACTGTTCAGCTCTGTTCTAGGTGCCAGTAGGAGGGGACACATGAAGAAATAGAGCAGGACAGCGGGAGCTAGAAATACCTGCTGCTGGAAAATGCTCTGCACCATCACTGGTACCCAAGCCAGCTCCATCCGTGTGTGTGAGCCACTGTCATTTGCAACTTAGATCTGCTCCTGCATCTCAAGCTGCATGGGACAGGCTCCTCCTGAGCCTGAGAGCAGAGCACAGCGTGGTCCTTGGGGCTGCAGTGACAGCTGTCCTGAGGCTGTGTGTGTTTTGAAGAAAGGCTGCGGGCTGTATTAAATACTGGCTTCAGAGACTGTAGGAACCTGCTGGTTCTGGAGCAAAGCAGGACTGAACTTGCAGGTGGGAGAGAAAATAAGTGGCAGTGAAAGAAGGTGTGCGTTCTCTAGATTTGTGGTGCCTCGCTAATGTGCGCAGGAATGACACCAGCAGGCTGGAGGATAAGAGGTGATAAAGCTGCTTTTTGTCAAATCTTGTCCTAGTGCTCCTCTGAAATCATCAAATTCTTGGCTGGCTGGCAAGTTGTCTTGTACTTCCCACCCCCCCACCCTAAATAAAGGACGGGCTCATGGCTCAGTGACTGAGGATAGCAATTGAAATGGTGACCCATACTGGACTATAGTATGGACATAGTTCATTCAATTTGCTGTGTGAATGTGGTAAATCAGAAGTAATTTCTCTGCAAGAGAAGTAGGCTGCCACCTGCTCATGAACTTGGCACCCTTAAGTCACACATCTGGTATTATATTCTGATAAAAAAGTTTTCAATAGAGTTATTTCCTGCTGAAAGGGAAGGAGGGGAGGAATTCAGTACCGTGCCAAGGAAACGGTGCTGCCCCACGTTCAGCCAGAAAGAAAGTAATCAGGACATTACTTCCAAAATCCAGTGGCATGTCCTACCCGAGGATCACAGCTCACAGATCAGAGAGATGCTTTTATGAGAATACGTGTCCTCACGAAGCATTTCCTTTTAACACAGAGCAGATGCTCTACTACCCGGTGTCACCTCAGTCATGGCACTTTGTGACAGCAGTGGGATTCTCTTCCCCTTCCCTCCTTTCTCTGCTGTCCATCCTATGCACCCAGTTTGTCCCACCCATCGGAGCTGCTGCTGGGCAGATCTCTTGCAGTGCCAATCACATTGGCACCCAGAGCAGGGCCTGCTTCAGTGCTTCTGGATGAGTGTTTGAAACGCACCATTCTCTGGCTGTAGGATTTGTGTGTCCTGTCAATGACAAGTGGAGCAAATATTGACAGTGCCTCTCAAAGACTCCAGTTACTATTGCTCTTGTTAATTCAGGGCAAAATTAATCCTTGTGCCAAAGACCCGTGTTAGTCTGTGCTATTGAAACAGCTGGTTGGTATATGGATTAGTTGCTTTGCTCATTTGCTTTGTACTCGTAATTTGTGCCGTTGAAAAAGTTTTAGTGCCCGTATTTTGTAATCTGGGATTTTGAGAACTTGGAATCATCACAGATGTCTACAGCACAGAGGCAAAACATGACACGCTCATTCCCAGCTTTTCTTCAGCTCCCAGGCCTTGGAAAGCCTCAAAGGCTTCAGGAAGTGGATGGAGGCTTTTTTTCAACTAAATTTCTAGTTTGAGTTGTATGCAAACTGAGCCATAGGCTTCACTTCTTCAGTCTTCATTGGATCCCAAATTCTGCAAAAATTTCATGAAAGTAAAAAAAAAAAAAAAAAATCTAATTGGGAGCGTGGGGAGGTGGAGACCAGGTTTGGAAGAACCAATGAGTTGTTTTCTTCCTGCAAGCTGCTGGGAAATGTCTATCTCTTTAAAAGATGCCGATGGATGTAGGGGGAAAAAAAACAACAAGACAAAACTGAAAAACAGACATGGAAAAAAAAAAAAACTGGATTAAACTGTCACTCATATTCACAATCTGTCCAGGAAACTCATCCATGCCCCTACAGGTAGCTAGTTATCCCATCAGGAATTTCATATTCTTGTCTGAATCCTGGAACACAAATTGGTCCGGCGCTCTGGGTCTGCCTTGATTAGGGTCTGCTGACACAGATGTCCACAGCATGAGCTCCCAAAAAAGCCTGCTTAAATAACTGCTTCTTTCCCCAAAGGGATCAAAGGTTGAGATGATCTTTCTAGATCTTTAGCCAGGCTGTGCAAAGCATCTGCAAAGTATAATCCTCCAACCTTTCTTTCCCTCCCTCCTTTTTTTTTTTTTTTGGTAAGGATGGTATAAATGGAGTTTAAGGGTTTATCTTTTTTTTTTCTTTATAGAGAGCAGCTATTATTTGTAAAGAACCCCTGAAAAAGAAAGCGCAGCCTTGCCTTTCAGAGAGCCAGTTGGGTTTTGGCTGCTCTGTCAAGGATAAAGCCCAGAGTATCTCTATATACTTGTGTAAATATGTGATGTTGACACCTTTTGCCAGCTGCTGTTGTGGCTTCCTTTTCCTTGATGAACAAAATCCTCCCGTGATGTGGCCTCTGAGCGTCATTATAATTAAAAGAATTAAAATTCAATTTGAGCTATTGTCATTACACAATGCAAAGTTCAACACCACCGAAGGTTGATTTT